GATTGTCAGAGGGGAAAAGGAATGTTGGCTGAACTGGCAATCATGTCTACACAACCATTTTACATTTGTGTTTCAAAACACTTTTGCACCATTTTATTCATTCCTCAACGCTTTCTGTATCAGTAGCATCTTACAAAAAAGGAAACCAAGGCTCGTCTACAAAATAGGAAAATTATTTTTAGTTTTCCAAGTCTCAGTAGGTTTAATGTAATGGCAACTTTAAAAATTTCCCCAAAAGATTATTTCGCTGAAACAGTAAACATAAAGACAACAAAAGGGAACTTTTATGTTTTTCCTAAGAGAAACAAAGCAAAAACCATCAAAATGCCGAGGCTTAAAAGAATTACCAAAACCGCCGGGCAGTGGCTCACACCTGTATTCCCAGCAATTTGGGAGGCCGAGGCAGGTGGATCACCTGAGGTCAGGAGTTTGAGACTAGCCTGATCAACATAGAGAAACCCCCATCTCTACTAAAAATACAAAAAAATTAGCCAGGCGTGGTGGTGCATACCTGTAATCCCAGCTACTTTGGAGGCTGAGGCAGGAGAATCACTTGAACCCGGGAGGCGGAGGTTGCAATGAGCCAAGATCGTGCCATTGCACTCCAGCCTGGGCAACAAGAGCGAAAATCCGTCTCCAAAGGAAAAAAAGAAAAAAAAAAAGTACCAAAACCAAGTTTGGAAGACATAAATTCTTGTCCTGGATCTGCCACTAGCAAGGTTCTTTACATCCTTTTCCATGCCTGTTCAGTAAGAGCAGACTCACTAATGAGGGCCCCTTCAGCTTCAGAAACACAGAGCTAGACAATTTCAGTTTACTACAGAGCATCCTATATAACTGTATTAGTGCTTAGTAACTGCAAACACTATTTGTTTTAAAAAATATTTCCCCACAGAACAAGATATGTTTTCTCAAGACTGCCTCGTGTAAAATATATGAGAAAAGCATATATGGCTTATTGCTGTTTCTGGCAACTGTGCTATCTACCCGTATGAATCATAAGCAACTGAAACTACATAGACATCACAAAGTCTTACAAAAGTTTAAATTGCATTGAAAGAGGACACTGGTTATTCTAAGAAAGGAAAGTAGTTTAAAAAGAAAACTTAAAAAAGCCATTTGAACAAAGAATTCCTTAAACTGAGTGAATTATCTCCAAATCTACCACTTAAATCAGTGGCTCTTCTCTCTGGAGTTCCTCCCCACCCCCAGTGCTATCTCCAAATTCACCCTACACAAAATGTGCAATACTGTCTCTAAACCATTTCTTTTCTACTAAGTCAGCCTTCTGCTGAAAAGCCTTCAGTAACTCTCCACAATATAAAGTCCACATTCCCAACCTTGCTTTTATGGCCCTGCAGAATCTAAAACTGACCTTTCCATTCACCCCAGACTACTACTCCCTGAAAAACGACAATTCCAGCCAAACTAGTCTCTTCACTCTTCCCCAAATACTCCAAATGTTCTAGTCTCTTGTTTCCAATATAAGGTCCTACTCCTTACTTAAAACACCAGTGAGTTCCAAACTTCCAACAAACCTCCTCCACTCTAACATGCAAACCCTCTTTCCTGGAAAAGTTAGAATACTTACTTTTCACCAAATTTTTAACCTTGTAACATGTATGTGTGTATATCCTCTGTTTCTTCAAGAATTTAGCACAGTGCAGTAAAGAGTTCAAAAATGTTCCTTAGATTGAAGTAAATTCAACTACAGGACAATAAACTCAAAGCCAAGGGCCTCTACCCTATTGTAAGTCTTTGTATCTAATTCCAATATTAAACAAATTATAGGTGCTAGGCTGGGCACAGTGGCTCACACCTGTAATCCCAAAACCTTCGGAGCCCAAGGTGGGCGGATCACCTGAGGTCAGGAGTTCCGGACCAGCCTGCCCAACATGGCAAAACCCGGTCTCTACTAAAAATACAAAAAAATTGGCTGGGCGTGTTGGCGCGCGCCTGTAGTCCCAATTACTTGGGAGGCTGAAGCAGGAGAACTGCTTGAACCCGGGAGGCGGAGGTTGCAGTGAGCCGAAGTCGCGCCACTGCACTCCAGCCTGGCACCTGGTGACAGAGTGAGGCTCTGTCTCAGAAAAAAACAAAAAACAAAAAAAATTAGCCGGGCGTTGTGGCAGGTGCCTGTAATCCCAGCTACTTGGGATGCTGAGGCAAGAAAATCACTTGAACCCGGGAGGTGGAGGTTGCAGTGAGCTGAGATCGCACCACTGCACTCCAGCCTGGGGGACAAGAGCAAAACCTGGTCTCAAAAAAAAAAAAAAAAAAAAAAAAAAATTGTAGGTGCTAAATATTTGTTGATTGTTATCTAACTGAACTCATCAGTAAGCCTTCCGGTCCCATAGGCCTCAAAACTCTGTAAATATTTATGGAAGATTTCAAAGCGTCAAGACATCAAAATTACATATTAAAATCTTCCAAGAATGAAATGCATGCAGGAGACACCGGGCAGGGCAATTAAAAATGGAAATCACGGCGGGGCGTAGTGGCATACGCCTGTAATCCAAGCACCTTGGAGGCCAAGGCGGGTGGATCACCTGAGGTCGGGAGTTCAAGACCAGCCTGACCAACGTGAGGAAACCCCGTCTTTATACAAAAAATAAAAAATAATGGAAATCACTTAAACACGCAATTCTCGAAATGCTCTAAAGCCATTTTTGTAAAACAAAATGTAAAATATCTGGAAACATAAACAATCTGACCTAGTGGGTTTTCTTCTTTCTGTAGATCCTCCACCTAATGTCATTCCTTGACTCTCTGATGTTATACAAAAGCTCAACTGGTAGGTGAACCATTTACCTAGACCGCAATTTCAAACAACCTCATGAGGCCATTTTCAAATGCTGCAGAACCTTATTAGTTCCCCTAAGAAGTAGGGAGGGGAAACTGGATGCAAAAGAGTTCTAAGACCTGCTCAATTTTCCCAGAGCCAGGCCCTATCCAGTGAAGAAGAATTAAACAACTCAGATCCCCTGTCTTAGTCCAGGGCTTACTCTTTTTTTTTTAGATGCAGTCTCTGTCGACAGGCTGGAGTGCAGTGGTGCGATCTCGGTTCACTGCAACCTCCGCCTCCCCGGTTCAAGCGATTCTCGCGCCTCAGCCTCCCAAGTAGCTGGGACTCCTGGTGCTGGTCACCACACCCAGCTAATTTTTGGATTTTTTTTTTGGAGAGACAGGGTTTCTCATTATAGGCATAAGTCACCGCACCCGGCCTACCCTTATTACCTTAGTACATGTACTAAGTATGCCTGTCCAACTTTTGATTTTTATTATTTATTTATTGGAGTCCCAGTGTGTTGCCCAAGCTGGAGTGCAGTGATGCGATCTCGGTTCACTGCAACCTCCACCTCCCGGGTTCAAGCGATTTTCCTGCCTCAGCCTCCCAAGTAGCTGGGACTACTGGCACGCGCCACCATGCCCAGCTAATTTTTGGACTTTTTTTTAGTAGAGACGGGGTTCACCATTACAGGCGTGAATCACCCACTGCTCCCGGCCGACTCTTACTATCTTAGTACACGTACTGAGTACGCCTAGCCAACTTTTGCTTTTTATTATTTATTTATTTACCTATTTGGAGACGGAGTCCCACTCTTGCCCAGGCTGGAATACAGTGGCACGATCTCAGCTCAGTGCAACCTTCGCCTCCCGGATTCAAGCGATTCTCCTGTCACAGCCTCCGGAGTAGCTGGGACTACAGGCGCACACCACCACACCGAGCTACTTTTTGTATTTTTAGTAGACTGGGTTTCACCGTGTTGGCCAGGATGGTCTCCAGCTCCTGACCTCGTGATCCGCCCACGTAGGCCCCCCAAAGTGCTGGGATTACAGGCTCTTAGTCTTTGACAAGAACTACAAGTAAACTTTATGGACCAAGCGGGAAAAGGCACGTGAGCTACAGCTGTGTTCCTGTGACCTTCTGGGAAATAATTTAAACATAAATTCTTAACGAACATAATGGAAAAAAAAAAGACACTTCCTTATTATTGTAAAAGCGTGATTACAAATTATGTTTCCTATGCTAAAGGACAAGAATCAAAAGGAGTAAGATACCAACTCACAAATTCAAGAAAGTCTACAGTCTGGACCGAGGGTGGTGGCTCACACCTGTAATCCCAGCACATTGTGAGGCCAAGTCGGGTGGATCACGAGGTCAGGAGTTCAAGACCAGGCTGGCCACGATGGTGAAATCTTATCTCTACTAAAACTACAGAAAAAATAGCTGGGCGTGGTGGCGGGCAAGTGTAATCCCAGCTACTCAGGAGGCTTGAGGCAGAGAACTGCTTGAACCTGGGAGGCGGAGGTTGCAGTGAGCCGAGATCCCGCCATTGCACTCCAGCCTGGGCATCAGAGCGAGACTCCGTCTCAAAAAAAAAAAAAAAAAAAGTCTACAGTCTGGAGGAAGGCTGACATCTTGTCCCCTAGATGCACTGGCTCCTGCTGGAACCTAAGGCATGCGTTCTAATAGCAGGAAAGCTAATATGCTCTCACAGAAATAGCTTTCTACCAGTGGCCAAACTGCTTTTGCCCTTGGCCTCTCTCCACATATCTCTAGCTCCAAACGGAGCTACTACAGCCAATGAAAGAGAAGGTCCATTCCCTGCCCAGTGACTCTAGCTAACACCAAGTGCTCATTCTCATGTTCACTCTGCACCCCCGCCCGCAACTCCTCCTTTTTATGCTCACTCCTCCATGTGTATAGCGCCCTCCTACTACTTCCCACCCAACACACATACCAGATGCCAAGGGCCTGGAGAACCCTCAACCAAATAAGCCCATTTGTAACATGTCCCAGAGTCCCATTTCTGATTCAAGCAACAGAGACTTCAAAACAAAACAAACAAACCAAAAACCCCTAAGTGAGTCCCAACCCTGATTCTGCAACACCAAAGAGTTCAGAAAACCAAACGGAACCTTGGAGAGCATCCAGAGAAGTTGAGTGACTTGCTTTCAAAATTACAGGGATGGCTCACTAAATACTTCCCACAGAAATGTACTTCAACTCATTCATTAAACGCATATTTACTGTGCCAGGCACCATGCTGGGTGCCCGAGACATTTCAATATGTTTTATTCGTCCTTAATGAAAAATGGAGCGGGGACGATGGGGGGTGGGGGCGCGGTCTGGAGAACAGTGAGATGGGGGATTTTCCACAGAGGCGGTTATCTACAAACAAATACACAAGGAACGAATACCCAAGGCTGAATATTACTGAACTGAGAATCTAGGTGAGTGATAAAGGCCCTAAGAACCCAGCTCCCAAAGGCTGGACACTGCCCAAGTCCCTGTCTGCTCCACGGGCAGGTCTTTTAAAGAGGGAAAGGGGGCATTCACAGCCATCCTCCGAAGGGGTTGTGGGTCCAAGGCACGGTCAGGCTGCCCAGCTCCTCACTGTAGCTAATTCCGCCCCATTTTCCAGCAGCATCACTAACTCAGTACTTCTGCAGGAATTTTGGCCCTCTCTCTCCTAGAAAGAGTCTGCTAAAATACACTTAACTCTCCTATATCTCCGGTTTTCTTCCGAGTTTTTCAAAAGACAGAGTTCAGGGGAGGAAGGCATCAAGCCTAACCGGGGTGGAATTCCCTGTTTGCAAGCGGTGCCCGCCCGGGCTAGAGGGCAGGCTGTCTGCTCACTCTTCCAAACCCAATCTTTGAACCCTCCTCAGCACCGGAGGGGAGGAATGTGCGGAAGCAGCATAAAGCCAGGTGGACTTTCAGGTTTAGCACGTGAAGGGCCTAGAACAAGACTGTAGGGGAAAATCAGACAATGAGAGGGAAAAGGTGAAGCTTAAGGGGACTCCGGAAAAATTCAACACCCCCGCAGGGTTTCAAACAATCCCCAGGAAAGTTCTTTTGAGAGATCACAAGACAAAACTAGGCAAACAGATGCCTCCGTTTTAAAAGAGATTGTGAGCAGCTTGAGGCAGCAATGAAACCTGACTCCGGGCCAGGAGAGCCTAGGGTCGATCCACCGGAGCGCGCAGGCAGCGAGGGGTGCTCGGCGGGGGCCAAGCGGGGCCCGCTGGCAGCTCGTTCTGCCGCCGCAGAGCCGCCGGGAATGGGGACTCGCCTCGCTGCCTGGGGGAGGAATAACCCCAGGGACCCGCCTCCCCGGGTTCAGAGAGCCGGGCAGGTCCGGAACGAATTCCCCGGACAGGAGATCCCCAGTCTCCGCCGAGAGAGGCTCCTCCCCGCCTCGCCGCGGCCAGTCCGCGCCCGCGTCCCCGCTTACTTTTGGTCGCAGCGATGAGGTTCTTCCCGTCCTTGATGAGCTCTTTGATGAACTTGTTGGTCCTCTCGAGTTCCGCTTCGTGAGCGCGGATCCTCTCCCGGAACCACGGGCTGTCGAGGTAGCAGTCGCTGAACTCCAGGGGCTGCAGCCCCATGACTGCAGCGGTCCCGGCGCGGTGCGCTCGCCGCGCGCTACTGCCCGAGCCGAGCTCCGAGGCCGCTGCCAGGTGCGGCGCCGCGCGTTCGGGGAGCCCGCAGGAGCTAGCAGGCCCGGGCGCGCGGCGAGCGAGGAGCGGACATGTCCCACAGAGCCAAGTCCTGCAGAGCGGAGGAGCGGCCGCCGAAGCCGAGACCAGCGCGAGCCGCGGCGCCCCAATCCCGGCAGCCCCCGCCAAGCCCTGAGCGCCCGCGGCCCCGCCCCGCCCGGCCCCCGCGCTCCAGACACTCCCCGAGGCGCCGCCCGGCCCGGCCCGCGTTCTCGTTCGCCCCCTTCTCTTTCCTCCGCCTTCCTTCTTCCTCCCTTCCCTTCCCGGGACTGCTCTTCCCCACGAGCAACTGCCCCTCCTCTTCCTTGCGAGGCGTCCTCGGGCTAGAATCTCGCCCCGCGGCTCGCGCGAGCCCTCCCCTTCGCTTGGGCTCCCGGGGCCGGGGTGACTCACAGTCGGCTCCCGGCTGCAGGGAATCCGACCCGGACGGAGAAGGAGCGTCTTAATTGCAGTTAAGTCCCCGCAGGCGAGCGACCTAACTCAGAGGTGGCTGCCTTGCAGGAGATGATTGACTCATTTATCTCATTTATCCTGGGACGCCCCGCAACCCCCGAGCTGGGAACGAAGTCGCACAGGGGGCTCTTTTCGTATCCCGGTTCCCTTCCCCGTTTAAAGTGAGATGCGTGGTAAATCTCCGCTTGAGATCGAAGCCTTACAAAGGCAAGAGAGTTTTCTGGGTAGCCCAGCAGCTTCTATTACACTCCTCTGCGTATCCACACTAAATGACTTAGGTGAAGGGAGAGGGTGGCTAAACCACAGAAAAGTTGTTTCTGTTGTGTTCAGCAGATTAAATTTGCTTGGGTAGCTAGAGATGATCTTTATTATTCTAAAAATAACCACCGGAAAACATGCCAGGTAACGTGTGGTTTTCACCGCGTGGGGTCACGATCACTGAGAATTTATGCCAGTGCCCTCAAAAAGCCTATTTTGTGTGTTCCGTAACAACTCCAGTGTGTCCCCAAAAAAGTTAAGGCATTTGAAAGTGTTGAAATGTATACCTTAGGCCACACGCGGTGGCTCACACCTGTAATCCCAACACTTTGGGAGACCAAGGCGGGTGGATCACCTGAGGTCAGGAGTTCGAGACCAGCCTGGCTAACATGGTAAAACCCCATCTCTACTAAAAATACAAAAATTAGTTGGGTGCGGTGGCACGTGCCTGTAGTCCCAGCTGAGGCAGGAGAATCGCTGGAACCCGGGAGGTGGAGGTTGCAGTGAGCCGAGATCGTGCCACTGCACTCCAGGCTGGGCGACTGAGCAAAACAATGTCTCCAAAAATAAAAATAAAAGGATTCCCTAAAAAAATAAAAATTAAAACCTAATAATTAATTAGAGTAACCTTTCGTAATAGCAGTTTATTAAGCAATTATTATGTGCCAGGCAGCCATTAGGAACTGCATCTACAAACTCACAGTATAGACTTACATAATGTGATGGTAATATTAACAAGAAACTTCAAAGTAATTCCTCAAGACGTTCGGACTCTGTGCTGGGTAATTAAGAATCTCTTTAGACAGCATGTTGTTAGAAGGGTAACCCTCCCGAACAAGTTAAATAAGCCTCCTACTCAATAAGCCGTTTTGTTATTATTACTCTAATGTCCATGCTACAGAGACTTCAAAGTGTTTACAAATAACTTTTAGGCGGTGAAATCTTCAGTTCCTACTAAAACCAGCCGGAGACTGGAGTCTACAGAAAAGAGAATAAAAGAGGCAAATAAAGGGGAATAAAGACAAAAAAAGGAGTGTAAACAAAAGTGAGGGCCTTGCAAAACAGCCAAACACTGACCACACTCAATCCTCTGGACAGAAACCCAAACCTTTTCTCATAAAGAGGGGCTGCTGACACTTCAGGATTCAACATAGAGGTTACCATGTGACCTAGCAAGTCCACTCTTAGATATATACCCAAGAGAAACGAAAATAGGTGTCCACGCAAATATTTATGCACAAATGTTCATAGCAGTATTATTCATAATAGCAAAAAGTGGAATCAACCAAAATGTCCGTCAGCTGTGTAATGGATGCACAAAATATTTGTGTCCATGCAATGAAATATTGATTTACAATAAAAAGAAATGAAGTACTGATACATGCTACAGCACAATGAGTGGTGAAAACATTATGCTAAATAAAAGAACTCAGGCACAAAAGGCCATATATAATACTCTCCATTCATATGAAATGTCCAAAACAGGTAAATCTATGGAGGCAGAAAGATTAGTGGTTGCCAGAGACTGGGGGATAGAATGGAGGGTATCTATAGTCAGGAGTTTATAATCAGGGTGATGAAAGTTATTAATATTTTTGCTTTTTATAGAGATAGGGTCTCACAATGTTGCCCAGGCTGTTCTCAAACTCCGGAATTCAAATGACGCTCCTACCTTGGTACCCCAAAGTGCAAGGGTTACAGGAACGAGCCACCATGCCTGGCCAAAAACAATTTAAATTTAGATTTTGATAATGGTTGCACAACTCTGAGCATACTCAAAACCATTAAATTGTACACATTAAATGGGTGGATTTTTTTTTGGTATGTGAAATATATCTCAATTAAAAAATTTTTTTAAGATGAACTATTCAGCCAGGCTCGATGGCTCATGCCTATAATCCCAGCACTTTGGGAGGCCAAGGCGGGCAGATCACAAGGTCAGGAGATTGAGACCATCCTGGGTAACACAGTAAAACCCATCTGCACTAAAAATACAAAAAAATTATCCAGGCATAGTGGCACATGCCTGTAGTTCCAACTACTTGCAAGGCTGAGGCAGGAGAGTCGCTTGAATCCGGGAAGCGGAGGTTGCAGTAAGCCAAGATCACGCCACTGCACTCCAGCCTGGAGACATAGCGAGACTCCGTCTCAAAAAAAAAAAAAAGATGCACTACTCTAGAACTGCTTCTCCTTCTTTACCATATTTAGACTCCAAGCCATAAAAACTCTGGTTTAGGCCAGGCACAATGGCTCATGCCTGTAATCCCAGCACTTTGGGAGGCCAAGCGGGTGGATCATGAGGTCAGGAGTTCAAGACCAGCCTGGTCAAGATGGTGAAACCCTGTCTCTACTACAATTACAAAAATTAACTGTCACGAAGGCTGAGGCAGGCGAATCGCATGAATCCAGGAGGCGGAGATAGCAGTGAGCCGAGATGGTGCCACTGCACTCCACCCTGGGCAACAGAGCTAGATTCTGTCTAAAAAATAAAAAAAATAAAAAATAAACCTCTGGTTTATTCAATGTGCCCAGTTATTTAGATATTGGAACCAAAAAAAAGTTGTATAAAACAATGTCACAACATCATAAAAGATATTACTTATCATTTCACACACATGTAAACCCAGTGTTAAAGAGCTGGTGAATATGAATCTTAATTCAGTACTGAATAGGTCTACTATAACCACCATGAGGGGAGGGGCCTGATTAATTTGTTTTATTCAACTATGCCTTGTGCAGTGTCTGGTACAAGCGACCAGTAAATGTGAAATGAATAAATATTAGCAAGTGAAACAAAATCTCTGTACAGTGGACAATGGCAAGATAAATATTTAGGAGTTCCAGCACCAGCTTTACTACTTAATAGATGTGTGACCTTACAAAGGTAATTTTCTGTAAACCTCACACTTAACCATCAGTGAAATGGAGGTGATGACATCGCAGATGCAGGTTGCTTGAGAAGATTTAATGAAATTGTGTTTGTAAAGTGCCTGCTGAAAATTACGATGATGATGAGACTCAAGGAGGAAGGCGGTGTGGANAGGAGTTTGAGACCAGCCTTGGCAACAAAGCAAGACTGTCAAGAAAGAAAGACAGACAGACAGAGAGAGAGAGAGAGAGAGAGAGAGAGAGAGAGAGATGAAGAGAGAGAGGAGGGAGAGGAGGAGGAGACAGATTACATTCCATCAATATGGGAAAGATTTGCGGGGAAGGACAGCCCTTAACTCATAGTTTTAAACCATGTAAGACAGAACTTAAGAAAAGTGGCCACAAAAGCAGATGCTACTGAGTTTCCAGGTTTCATCTTAGTTAATTAATCAGTTATTCCCACAAATATTTACTGATCATTTATATGCTAGGCAACATACTAGGTGCTTGTGATGCAGCAACACCCAAAACAGTGTCTGTCCTCACTGTGCTTTTGGTCTTTGGGAGGATACTAACCTCATCCCCCAAAAAAAAGCAAAAGAAAAATCACACACATATATCCAATTGAAAATTAAAGTGTCATGCAGTTAAACTAAAGGGTATGTGAGAGGTTATAATTGGAAGACCTGATAGATTGGGGATGGGTCAAGGAAAGCCTCATTGAGGAAGTGATAAGGAAATTAGAATTTAATCAGTGACCAGGAATATCAGTAGGAGTTAACTGGTTGTTTGTTTGTTTGGAGTTAGAGTTTTGCTCTTGTTGTCCAGGCTAGAGTGCAATGGCATGATCTCGGCTCACTGCAACCTCTGCCTCCCAGGTTCAAGCGATTCTCCTGCCTCAGCCTCCTGAGTAGCTGGGATTACAGGCATATGCCACCACGCTCGGCTAATTTTGTATTTTTAATAGAGGCAGGGTTTCTCCTTGTTGGTCAGACTGGTCTTGAACTCCCGACCTCAGGTGATCCACCCGCTTTGGCCTCCCAAAGTGCTGAGATTACAGGCGTGAGCCACCACACCCAGCAGGAGTTAACTGTTAAATAGGGGTAGGAACAGAGTAATCCAGACATGACACCAGCCTGTGCAAGCCCCTGAGATGGCACATTCAAGAGATGAACAGGTCAGGCGGCTGAAGCCCAGTGAGAAAGACTGGCTCACAACAATGCCGGCCGGTGGAGGGTAGGCAGGAGCCAGATGGTGCAGGGCCTCTAAGACATGTTTAGTATTTGGGATTGTATCCCAAAGCTGTTGGGAGCCTTTGAAGAGTTTTATGTATGTGGTAATATGATCCAGTTTGTGTTTTCTCTCTAGCTGCTGTGTGGAGAATGGAAATCCAGACAGAAGGTGATTGGGGTTGTCTGGGCAATAAATAGCTCAACCGTCCAAGGTGACCCTCCAAGGAAACAGCAAGAAATAGACAGAAATGAAGTATATTTTAGAAGGAGATTCTGGAACTTGACAATAGCCTGGATATTAGTAATGAAGAAGAAGAGGTCAGCGGTGGGCCCCAGGCTTGTGGCATGCTAAGTTAGGTGGAGGGATATGCCACTTACTAAAAGGATAACATGGGATGAGAAGCTGGCATGGCAATGTTGGTGATGACTGGGATGGAAGGATGTATTTCAGTATAGACTCATGAAGTTTGAAACGCCTGAGAGACATTCTTTTTTTTTAGTAGAGATGGGGTTTTTCCATTTCGGCCGGCTGGTCTCGAACTCCTGACCTCAAGTGATCCACCCGCCTCGGCCTCAGGTGTGAGCCACCACGCCTGGCCAACATTCAAGTACATAAGTCACTGAGGCCAAGAGTGGGGTAATGCCAAGTTTAGGCCATTCAGGTGTCACCTTTGAGCATGAGGCAGGCTGATCCAGCAAGATATGAGGGCACTACACGAGTTTGTGAACTGGTAACCTATAAAAAGTATAATGGTGATCCTTGTACAACAGTATAAATATACTAAATGCCACTCAACTACACAATTAAAAATGGTTAAAATGGCAAATTTTACATTATGCATATTTTACCACAATAAAAAGAAAGCATAATGAAGGAAGAGTAAAGGACTCCTTCATCTCCCCCTTTATGTCACTTCCCTTCCCATAATGGCCTTTACTTTTCTTTCTTTCTTTCCCTTTTTTTTTTTTTTTTTTGAGAC